CGAGCAGTAGTTGTCTGTTGGGCGCCGGCATTAACAACACAAACAGCTGAAGAGCCGTCAGTTTCTTATCGTTGTGTTGCGAATGGTTTGGAGACAACGATTGTCGACTCAATTGGGAGATGTGTTTAAAGAGTGGAAACAGAGATTCAGTGATCAGTGGTTCCGGAAGTTCACTGCAAAACTTTTTCAATACACTACAGCAGTCGTGAACTGTAAACCGATTGGCCGTCAGATCCACTGTAATCCCCGCTGAGATCAAGTCCTTGAGCTCCGACTGTCGTAAAACTGATCCACTCTTTCGGAATATGCCTTCTTTTGTGAGATCTGTGGATCAAATGACACACATATGACAGCAGTGTATGCAATGAATGAGTGATACAACGGACGAGTGCTTACTCTTATCAGTGGTAATGAATTCAATCAATTGGTTTACACAACAAATACCCTCTTGAGTGAGATTTGAGCCAAAAATAGACGCTTTTTATGAAAATACAAATATTTGTTAATTCATTGCAATAGTATTTCAATACATTATATATTTGCTAATCATTTGTCAGTATTTATATTTATAATGTTATCAAATGTTGTCCACTATTGTGACTACAAATCACTGTAAATATCAAATACAGACTATTCTCGTATCAATTCATTAAATGCCATTCACTCCCAGTGTTCACCACAATCAGCACATCATCAACAGGTATATGATATTCGCACTCATGAGTGGTGNCACTCCCAGTGTTCACCACAATCAGCACATCATCAACAGGTATATGATATTCGCACTCATGAGTGGTGGTCAGTGTCTGAGTGTACGTCCATTACTCACAACTGTATGTTTGGTTGGCTTTCCTTTTGGTCACTTTGGGCTCAATTGAGTCGAAGTCAAAGTTGGAGTCAATGATGAATGACAGGTGACTTCGGATCAACTGACCCAAGAGTTGGCTGTCCTTCACTCGCAACACATCGATGGCGTCCATTGTGTCGAGTGATGGACCGATGGATCAGATGTAGTGAACACAGAGTTTGTAAACAAATGATCAAAGAGTTGACAAACTGTCGTAAAATGCGGTCTATTTTCAAATCAACCAATCATTGCGTCGATTCTTATTTGTTCACAAATCACGTGCTATTCATTGCATGAGTGCACACCTCGTTGTCAATAATATGTGTCTTATGTATGCTATTGAGTAGTAATGCCTTCATTAGCATAAATGTCCCCCACTTTCAGTGCCTTCGCTTTATTGTTATGTTATTTACGATTAGTTTTATGATAAGAGATAAGAGTATAAAAGGGCCCAAACTATAGGCAATGTAATG